GCGAGAAATATCAATAAATACAGTTTTATTAAGGAGATGTTTTATTACAACGTAAAATAGATATTAGACGAGATAAAGGAGTGTATATTGAAGTAATTAGGATCCGCTGTGTAGAGAATCATCGAATTGTACTGGTATCTAACAATACCATCCTTAATAAATGCCATCCTTATAAATGTATATAAATACAATACCGTTTTAAATGATACTTATATTTTAATTATGTTTGATTCAATTAATTGAATTAAATATGTTTTAATGAATTCTACTGAAATGATTGTTACATTTTCATCATGTAACTATTTTGTTCTTTTATTTGCCTCCCCAGAAAACAGTCCCACCTCCTCTTGAAGACATTTAGCCTCCTGCTATGGACTTCAGGTTCACATTAGGTAAGCCCTTGAGTGTGTCAGACTAAAGTTGTTGTTTCAGAGGTTAATTCAAGACGTGTTATGTTTACATACTAATATAATGAGCATCAGGTAAACGTACCCATTTCTATTTTTTGAATCACAGATGGGATGGAGTTGTAAACTATGCAGCACTAGTGTCACCACTCAAAGTGATATTTTAAAACATTATCGACTAGGGATGCTCCGATCGATCGGTCACCGATCGAGATCTGCCGATACTCACTCTCTACCGATCGATCGGTGCTCTCTAAACATGCCGATCGCATGACGTAAAATACATGACACTTTTCTCTGTACGCGGCAAAACAAGCTCACCAAAATGGCTTCACCGGTCTGGCATTATTTTAAGGTGTCCGAAAAAGACAGTAAAATAGCGGTATGCAACGTGTGTGAAGCAGAAATCCTGCAGCTCCACCTGCTGTGACGGACCGGTGAGCGGAGCAAAACACACAAGAGTTAGACCTAACACACTTAGCTATTTTATCTACCTCTGGAACAAGATAAACTAGTTATAAATATGTTTATTCTTCACTGTCGGCCTCACACATTACTGGATCAGCGAGCTGCATGAGACGATACTGACGGGCTGTCAGGAGAGGGAGAGAGGGGGGGAGGAGAGAGGGGGAGAGAGGGGGGGAGAGAGGGGGAGAGAGAGAGGGAGAGAGAGAGAGGGAGAGAGGGAGAGGGGAGAGAGGGGGAGAGAGAGAGGGAGAGGGAGAGAGAGAGAGAGAGGGAGAGAGAGGAAAAGAGAGCGCTTCCGCTCATTTCTCCCGTGGTATTATCCAAAGTGAATGTAAACTTGAATAATATACATAATTTGAATGTAATAATTAAGTTGATTGTTGTTTGTGGAAGCTCCAGTGAATGAGCCCCATTAACTGAGATTTAAACATCACTTTAAATGGAAGATTTAAAGTGATGTTTAAATCTTCCATTTAGGCCCCGCCCACTCGATCGGATCGGCGATCGGTATCGGCCGATACTGATTCCGGCGATCGGCCCCAAAATTGGCGATCGGAGCATCCCTATTATCGACTCCATCATGGAACCTTTGGACAGAAACGTGCCTTGCCCTGCATTCATGTAGACTGGCCTGCGCTCTCACTTAATCGTCTGTTCTTTTTATTCTCGGACCCATGTGCCACTTTATATAAATCTCTGAGCATGAGGTGGGGTTACAAATATGTAGTTGGACATTTTATGAACTATATCAATATCATGACTATGTAGTTCATTTTCTTGCAAACCAGCCTTTTTTTTTATGGCTTAAACCCCTTGTAATGCATGTGAATAGCACCTCTGTTACCGTCTGTTAACAGCTAATGTAAACTGTCTCGTTATGATTTCAAGACGGATGTGATTTTTGTTGTTGAGGAAAACACATGGTGTGTCCTGATTTGTACTCAATTTAGTGTTTCATTTGTATACAGGGAACAGAAGAGGTCTAAGTGCAACAGGCTCGTGATGCACAGCATGAAGTTATACATTGCCCACGAGCCAGATGCAGTTGGAATAACCATCAAGTAATAACCATGTGTCTCCATGTATGTTAATGTTTTGTGCTTTTAAACAAACTGGAAATAATCACATTTTAATAAAATGTATTAACATATTCTTAAAATAAAAAAAGCTTTCTTTCTCTGATATTCTGCCTATAGTGTTTGTTTTACTGTGCTTTATAGCCTGGTATTGACTTCAGTTTTCCAGGGTTTCTGATCAGTTGTGCATTCAATTAGTGGATGAATGTATGTGTTCTGTTGATAGGTTATAGACTTTCTACTGTTCTCAACTGTTTTTCACTTTAATTGGATAGTCCTAACACATGCCTACAAACGCTCAGTGGAGAACCTACTAAAAGTATACTGATAGTCAACTCTAGATTAGTTGACGATCAACAGATAGTCAAATGTAATAGTCAACTAAACTCTAAAGTTGCTTATCTGTTGATCATCAACTAATGGTTAATGTAATAGTCAACTAAACTTTAGTTGCTTATCTGTTGATCATCAACTAATCAACCCCTACCTCACCGACCTGATCCACCACTACACCCCTTCCCGCAGCCTTCGTTCATCAAAAGCGAACCTCCTCTATCCCCACACGAACCAAGCTCCGAACCTGGGGGGACAGAGCCTTCTTCGTCGCTGCCCCCACCCTCTGGAACTCCCTTCCACAACACATCAGAGACTGCACCGACCCCCCCACTTTCAAAACACTGACCAAAACACACCTCTTCAGATTGGCTTTTAATTTGTGAATTATGTTGTGTTGCTGTTTTAATATGTTTTATTCTATTTTATCTTGTTTTATCACCACTGTAAAGCGTCTTTGAGCACCTGAAAAAGCGCTTTGAAATTAAATGTATTACTATTATTAATGCTTAATGTAATAATCAACTAAACTCTAAAGTTGCTTATCTGTTGATCATCAACTAATGGTTAATGTCATCTTTAGTTGACATCAGAGGCCTGTACTACGAAGCTGGATTTTCGCTTAGCCGGCTAAATTCAGGGAAATCTCGGGCTTTCCGGTCCTACGACGCTGGTTCTCTTTTTAGCAGGCTAGATTTCCATGGTAACTTATGCTGAGCGGCAAACCTGCTCCGGAGCAGGTTAGGTGGCAGGCTAAGAGATCAACTCAGTGAAAGCACCGCCTGCTGACCAATCAGAGCTCCGTGTGCAGAGTTTAAAGCGATCAATTCATATTACAGGATAGAGGAAATACAGAAAAACTGCCGTTGCAGGAAAGACAGCCGGCCAAAATCAACTGACTGTGTGAACGTGAAAATTAATACAATATCCCCTCCCATCTTCAGAGCAATCTGACTATTATAATATTAGCGTTAAGAAAGCTTACTTAAATATCTGCCACGACATAAGTAACCGGATCAGAGTAACATTAAGTACAGTCCGCGGCACTGTGAGTGCAGACGTCGATGTGTCCCATTATCATTCATATCATATCACATCATAATGCATCATATATTTCCTTATCTGAGTCAGCTGAGCCGTATCTGGCCGTGCAACACTCACAGTGTCACATACTGTATGCAGAAGTATTATTTTAAGCAACACATTAAATTGACGAAACACTCGAGTCAAATTCTCCTAATTAAAGTCAGATCCACTCGTGTCTTGGACGGGGCAGTGATTTCATAAACCTGTTAATGTACGCATTCAAACACTTTTTCTTTTACCAGCTGTATTCACCTTGCAGGTGCAGCTATGTGGCTTTTATCCTGGATAAAGTGTTTAAGACATGGATGTTTAAAGTTTAACTTCTTCATATTTGACTAATATTAAAGTTCACTTTTCATTCAGGAAGTATGACGCTGCGCTGTCAGTACGGTTGTCCGTGTTTGAGATTGGTCGAATGCTCCAAATACCACCCCTTTCATGTGAACGCGCACCTAACTAGATAGGACACTGCTGGCTTGAGCGATCCACTTGATAACCGGCGTCGTAGTACAGCTTAGCGCCAGCGCGTATGTTTTGGCTTAGGCCAACCGGCTAACTCCAACATATCCAGGTTAAGTTGAACCAGCTTCGTAGTACAGGCCTCTTGACTCTCAACAGATAGTCGACATGACCCTGTTGACTTTCAACTGACAGGTTGATTTTGAGTAGTTGATTGTCAATTTTGAAGATGTTGACACAATCTACAGATAGTAAGGTTGAATATCGGTTAATAACCTGTTGCAAAAAACATGTTGACAGTCAACAGAGACTTTTTGTAAAATCTATAGATCAACACTTGAGATGTACCTTATATTCTACTGGCAGTTAGTTGAATGCATGTTACTTGTCTGTTGAAACCGTGTTGTTGAATGTCAACTGATGACTTATAGAGCGTTAACTATGGACTATCAAAATAAAGTGTTACCAAAACGAGTTATACTGCATTAATTTCCAGTAAACATATTTATTCTCTATTGTCAGTGTAAATCAACCAATCAAATACAAGCAGCATACAGTTCTGATAGAAAGCGACCAGAAGCTTTCATGCATGACTGAAACCTATCGTTATATAATGATGGTTTAAAAACACATTCTTTGTGTTGATCTATAGCCACTAGCAATGTTGAACTGTAGTCACAGGATAATTATATTTAAATACTTTGACTGGGGTTGCGTTTACTCAAGTCAATCCCAAGCCCAGAAAATACACAATCCTGTAATTTCATCATACCTTTTTCTAGTCACATATGACCTCAATTTAACAAACCTATTTAAAAAAAACAAAAAGCCTATATAACAAGGCTTTAGGAATTGAGAAAAGACCATTTCAATTGTCAGTATGATATTTGATGAAAAGGAAGAATCAAATTGTACTTTTTCTGAATGTAAAAGTTTTATCGAGCTCACATCTAATTGAATTAAAGGGTATATGACTTGACTTCTTTTCGATTCAGTCACTTTTAACTAGATACAATTCGTCCAGATCCAGATTGTCACTGCAGATATTTTAGTAATGCTTGCATACTGGATTGGCAGTTGATACTGGATTATTTAGGAGGTGGATTTCATACGGGCCAGAAATTACACACAAAATGAGCAGAACACATGATGCACAATGTTGGGAACTCACAGAGAAGAGCTTAAAGAGGGGATACTGGAAAACCTTCCACTTCTTATCCTTGTAAGCGATCATCGGAACATCGACTTTGCTGAGGTACTGCGAGAACAGTAGGATCAGACAGACCGTGCTGTGGGAAAACAGAAGAAAGGATACAATTTCTCACTCACAGTGGTTTCCCCAATGACCTGGCCCTCGCTCTAGGCCATTAATTATTCTGCCTGAGCATAGTATGCTTCCATAGGTCACAGTTAGAGGGGAGGTCACAGCAAGTGAAAACATGCCATTTGACACAGCAGGCGTAACTACACGATACTTGTCAACGTGTAAAGGATTATGGGTAAGTAACATTTGAACATTATAAATGACTTTACTCCCTGCCTTTAAATGGCATTTCATGCTGAGCGTGAAGCACTTCATGCTGCGTAGTGGGAATGTTTGCAGCCATGGGAATACTAAGAAATGTGCACAAGACAAGATTACTGGAAAGAAAGGAGATGTTCAGTAAGCAAGTTACTCGATTCCAATTTAAACATTGTAGTTGAAACAATGAAATAGAAAATGTATTATGTATTATAAGGCAAATTCTAAGATTGATTTTGTATGAAAAACCTACAGGGCCAGAACACCTCGGGGGTGTGAGATGCAGGAGATGTGTTTTGAGCTTCCAGTCCCCTGAGGAGTGCCGCAGTCTTATTTATACTATGATAAAACATTACGTCACATTACATATTGTTTAAAGGTCACCTATTATCAGTGGCGGCGCCAGAGTATTTTTGTTGGGTAATCTATGGTAGGGCTAACCCATACAGTGGTGGTGCTCAAGTCAGTATTTGCAATGTAATTACATACACGCTATATCGCCCCCCTTGACCATGAAACGCCACGTGTGAGGTTTAGATTATTTCCCTGTCTCAATCAAAATGGAACTGTATGAAATAAAATGGCACATTTGTCTTGTAGTAAATAAAAAGGGATCACTGTGAACGTGACGTATGATAGTACACGTTGAAGATCCAATAGGGATACTGAATGGCGGTTTCGATTGATCTCAATCAATAAGGCATGACGCAGACCCAATGTTGCGTTGCTCTGATTGGCTGTAGGTCTATTCAAATTGCATTCGGAGGCATTTTGATCTGACCGCGGCCGCGCTGATATTATAACGCCAGAGAATTTCCACACCTTTAGTGTATAAAACTCCCCCACTATTTAGACTATTCCTTGTACCCCTCTTCTAGCATAACCCTGAATGGTCTCAACCATATTGCATCAGTAACGTGCACTTGTTGTTACAGCAGGATCAGTTTGTGTGTTGTGGACACGACCCGTATATTTTCGCAATCCGTGTTCTCAACATTTAGCATTTTGCTTATTATTTAATTTAATTTGCTTACTTTAACATCATTTTTCATGGTGGGGCTAAGGTGGGGCTAAGCCATTTCTTGGTATGGCTGTAGAAAAACCCCAGCCATACCCTGGCGCCGCCACTGCCTATTATGCAAAAACACTTTAACATATCTTGTATACATCAACATGTGTCCCCTCTGTGTAAAGAGATTCTGAAAGTTTCAGGAACAAATATTCTCTTTCTTTTTGTCCTGATCCATTTATATAAAAACCTGTCTGAAAATGAGTTGATCAGATTTTGGCCACTTTATGATGTCATAACGATGTTTTGGTTTGTGTAACCATTAGCCAATCAACAACCAAGGAAACCCCCCCCCCCCCCCCCCCCCCCCCCACACACACACCTTATCACCTGAATCTCCTCCTAGAGCACCATTAGCCGCGTTCACACCGGAGTACTTTTCCCTGTACTTTTCGCGTTTAGTTCCGTTAGTACCCCTTATATCACGTTCACACCAAAAAGAATACTTAGTGCCGGGAACTTTTACCCCCATTTTTAGTGCCTGCTGAGAGATGGTACTTTCCTGGGGGAAAAAAGTGCCCCAGTTCTGATTGGCTGGGCGAATTGCAAACCACGCCCCGTAAAACTCTGAAATGTTTTGTAGAGCCGCCATTTTCTTATCCTCGCATTAGCATTATTAGCATTAGCATTCGCCCAGCGCACAAACGCAGAGAGAATAACTTATGGCAACACAAAAGAAAACATGGGAGCGGTGGAGATGAGGAGGTGTCGGCGTTCTGGCGATTTACTCGGAAGGCTTCAGTAGAAGCTGCTGGGAGTCCCAGCAGCTTCTACTGAAGCCAGTCCCCAACTCCGGGGACTTCCGGCCGGGGACTTCGGGTGGCAGTATACACCGTGAAGTGGTTTGCGGCCTGCCAGTAAACCCAAAGCAGAAGAAGACGAAGTGACGTCAGCGGCTCATTTGCATAATCTTCCCTCAGGGAACTTATTCCGGTGTGAACGCGATCTGTACTAAGTGCCCTGGGGTAATAAGTGCCGGGGCACTAAGTGCCGGCACTAAGTACAACAAAGTACTTGGTGTGAATGCGGCTATTGTGTTCTTTTTAACCAAATATCTCTCAGAGGGGCGTGGGGAGTGGCTCCTTATTTTCATCTAAAGTAACAGACAGAGAATCAGTACTTTTGAAACAGGGCTGAAACAGAGGGGATTATGGGATGCTGCAATGATCTGTTTGGTGTTTCGAGCCAAACACTTCAGAGACATGTTTTGTATATATCTGAGAGCTATAATATATTGATGAAAAACAGTATAATAGGGGACCTTTAACTGCGCTTCTTTCCAACACTTATCGTAATATCGTATGCCTTCAGGAGCAATTTGTGGTTAAGTATCTTGCCTCCGACACTTTGACATGTGGTCTATAGCAGGGGTTCCCAACCCCCGGTCCGCGGACCGGTACCGGGCCGCGGAGGTGTTACTGCCGGGCCGCGAAATAGCTGTGAGTTTATCGTAATATTTGCAGAATTATAAATATATAAAAATATTTTATCATAATATTTTTTTCAAAAAGTGTTTAATTTTCGCACCTATGCCACCAGTCATATTATTTCATCCAGTAGCTAGTTAATCTTTCACCAGAAAACCGTTGAAAATGGCTTTTATGATGTTCCGAGGGATTCGGCGGCTCATAAGGTCTCAGCCTCTTGTGCGCACGAGCATGTTACCGGTGCGCCAAGTAGGAAGAGGAGCGCACAGGAGACAACCGTTTGATTGCAGACTGTTATGTTTATGTGGGGAAATGGTGGTGCATACATTATTTGAGATATATTTCAAACTCGGACTTCATTTTAAGGACATGTCGACCAGGGGTGTAGAGCTATTTGTTTAAGCACTGGATTGGCAAAACAGGAGAGTAAACCAGTATGCCTTGATCTATGAATTAATGTCCGGGACTCTCACGATCTGCTGCCCGCAGCTGTTTTATAGAAGGAAACCCTCCTTCATGAAATGGCTGCAGCATCAGGAGGCAGCGGGACGTATACTCGGTAAAGAGCTGTGCCTTTTTACGCACCGAATTCGCTGTGTTTAACTTAATCAGAACAGTTTAAGAGTGACTGCAGGCTGCTACGTGTTAACCACACACACATCTACACACATCGAACTGCCCGATTACTCCCCCTTTTATTAGTTTTATGAAGGAGATGTCCAGTCAGTCACCAAGGCGCATGATGTGTGTGTGTATGTGCTCTGCTCAGCTCAGCTCTGTGTGTTCGGTGTGTTTGTGTCTGTCCGACACCGGCATATATGCGGCTGTTCCCAAAATAAATTAGTTTAATCTTAATCTTGATGTAGTGCTAAATGCTGTCGGGAGTGCACCGGAATGAACGACATTTTCCCAGCATTCACTGGATTATCCGTAAATCATACAAACAAAACCAAAACGTTGATTTATCTGTTTTCCCGTTTTGGTTTAAAAACTGAATAACGTCGGTTTTTTGGTTTTCCGAAAAACCAAAAAACAACACAGGTTCTTTTTTAAACTTTGTTAATATGTTTTGGATGCATATTGTTCTAGTATTTGTTCAGGCTGTTACATACAATTAGCCTCTGTTGCTACCTGCTGGTGGTGAGTAAATATTAAAATCAGTTAAAATTGACAACCGGTCCGCGATTTTTTTTTAATGTATCTACCGGTCCTTGGCACAATAAAGGTTGGGAACCCCTGGTCTATAGGAGCTGGGGGGTCCAACAACTCACCATATAATGTGAAGGGGCCTATTAAACAATAACCACTAAGCCACAGTCACCTCCATATAATATTAATAACATACTGTACATTTAACTATATTCCTAAAACATTTTAGTTCATAAATTAAACCTTTAGCTTTTATCCACCCAAATAAACACCCAGTTATTGACTTTGCATTCCCCACTTTTACATTCAAGTACATTCTTAGTAAATAAAGGATGTCAACATCTTCTTTGCTCGTCATATTGATCATATTTTGGAAATTGACTTCCTCATTTCCCCTGCACTGTGTCTTATGGCAGACTACAGTCTCAGGGTTTTGTGTGGGGAGTGTTGAATTACATGTCTGTGTCTCTGCTTCTGTAAGTTCCTAGCTATCCTGCCGCATGTAGACTGTTATCGGGGGGGTTTCAGGGCAGTAGGGCTAAGAGGGATATGACTGATTACCATCCATACATGGCACCAGGAGGTGGATGTGCTGAGCCTTTTAAAACCCACAAGGATCACTCTGTGTAATGACTTTACTCTGCATTATCTGGAGATGGCGGCGGTAAATGAAGACAGATTTCATGGGGCTGGACAGGTCAGCAGCAAAGGTAAATCAGAGGAGAGTTAATATGGAACAGTGAGCTGCAGAAGGAGCAGCAATTGTCGAGATTTTGAAGAATTTAAATTGTGGACATGATTGCTTCGATAAAGAAAGAAAGAAGGCAGCAGTACTGTGCTGATATTTTGTCGCACAGAAGTACTGTAATTAGATTAAACCCTATGTTTGCTAATGTGTTTCCCATGTACTTCTATGTATACTGTACTGTATTTGTAAATGCTAGAGTTGCTTTATTGAAACCCTAATCTTATTATATCAATAAGCTATTTTATCATTACTCCTAATGTCACTAAGCTTTAAGGGAGACGTGCTGAACAGCCTCAGACACAGACGAATGAAAAAACAAAGAACAAAACTAAATAAATTAGATGAGAGACCTAACAAATGCAGATGCTTAATGAAGGGTATTAAGGTTAAAGTTTGTGGGAAATTAGGTTAATCATATGATATGTATCTCACAAATCCTCGGATCTAAACTTTGGGCTCAGGCTGGGGACATCATAAAAACCAAAGAAATGTGGATATATCTTTAAGCGGACGATGTGTAGCTCTGGAGGTTTGTTGAGGAACAAGTTAATAAAACACTTCATGTTGGTATTTTCCTGGAATTTGTCCCTTATCTGTGTATGCGTACAATACATTGAAGTACACACATAATACTACACATTTTTGTCATTCACGAAAAGGATATGTTCATGTATTTTATGGAAGCACCAAAAAAACTTAGTCCAGGTATTTTCACCCATTGAAATTGAACAAACATTGCGATCTTATACTGATATTACACCAGTTCAGTTTTGAAATGTTGTGTAGGTCTAATATGTAGGTTTCAATCAATCGATAACAAACACTATCCACTCACAGAGCAGCGATTCCCCAGTGACCTCCGGACTTTTTCCCAGCTTCGATGAACAGGGACAGGCCGATGAGGTTGATGGTTGGAGCGATAGCCAGCGGGCCGATGTATTTCAGCACCAGACCCACCAGCCCGGAGAAACCCAGGACAATCTGGACGAGAGACGACACGAGGATGGCTCCCTGGATCTGTGGGAGAGAGGGTTGTAGCGACACAATTATTTCAAGATTCAAAATTGCGATACATACAGTATGCTAGGTTCTAAATCCGTAGGGGTTTGGATTTGGCGGGATCAAGTCCCCGGACGAACCAAGTACTAAATATGGTCTGGTTCTTCAAAGTCAACTTTATTGCCAATCTTTCAGTTTGTGTGTACAGACAGAGAGATCGAAATACCGTTTCCCATGAACCCGAATATAAAAACAAATATATATAAAAAGATCTATATACATGCACACAATCAAAACACACATTTATACATATGCACACATTAAGACCTAAATAAAAGCACAACAATCAATATATACAAAATAAAAGTCACTTCAATATCTTTGAGAATGTACATTAGTGCAAGACTGTCCATAACAGTGTAAAAAAAAGTGTCTGGGTGTTTGACAGGTATCATCCTCTGGCGCACACACTGCTCCCCCGACACACAAACAAATATATTTTATGACATTTTTATACTGCAATGACAAAATCTTAAATGAATCAGCTTGAATTGAAAAAGTAAATCTACATGAACCGAATAACTGAACTTAACACACGTTGCTGTATGGGACAATATGGCCTTAGTTTCTACAAAAGCACAGCTTAATGCGCCAGATTGTGAGCGTGCATCCAAGAGGAAGGTTAAAAAATGTCCAAAAGAAATGTGTGAGGCCGAAACGGTGGACAAAGCTCTTTCCAAACAACCACGAATCTGGTGTTGGGATCACCTGAAGCAACCCACCGTTTATTATACTAGAACGGGTTTTATGCAGTCAAAATGTCACTGTTGCATGTTCGACGGTAAGAACTTGATTCAATCGATTTGAATTGTTTATTTCTACTTCATGGTTCCTGTTTTAGCGTTTACAGCAGGGATGTCCAAACTACGGCCCGGGGGCCAAATGCGGCCCGTGGATCATTTTGAATCGTTCCTCAGCTAATTCAAAATTATAATTACTTAAAGTGGACCTATCATGCTATATTTAAATTGTATATTGTAGGGCCATACCTACTGTATATAAGGTATATTTATACGTTTCTGTTTTCAAAATACCAAACAGATCATGCATTTTAGCCATGCCTCATTTCGCTCTATTTGCTGTTCTCCAGCACTGTTTTTGCACGGGGCTGATTCTGTGAGCTGCAGCTGACCACGCCCCCCTGCAGGAGAGGGGAGCCGTGCTCTGATCAAGTCAGACGAGGGGGAGAAAAATAGATCTCCGTCCTCCGTGTTTTATTATATTATTATATAGAGTCGTTATTCATTTGTTTTAAAGCTCAATAAATAACAAAGAAGACCTTTGACCGGCACTTTTCTAATTTTGTCCGGAAGATTTCAACTTTAACGGACATCTTGACCGGCGAAAGAAAACCTAACTGAAACTCTGCCGCACGGTCCCCTCGTTCCTTGGAAGAGGCGGAGAGGTGGGTGTTTGTCATCTGCTGGTGGACTAACCGGAGAGAATTACAGTGCTTGCCTCGACGGGGAGGGATTGCATTGAATTAAAGCAGCGGGAGCAAACGCTTGCCTCGGGGAGGGAGAACAAAAGCCACAGCGGAGAATAAACAGAAGGGTAACCATGGTAACCATGCGCGGGAAGTCTTCTTCGCTGCTTTTGTGGCAGACTACAGCGCCACTTACAGGCCTGGCATATGTACTACAGCGTCTCCAGCGCTTTCGAGCGGCAATGGCCGGCCGTGGCCCAACCCCACATTCCCCTGATAGGTGGAGAATTGGCCCAATAGCCGTAGCGCCCCCGTCCTGACGTCAGGACAGTGTTCATCTGGATCAGTTTTTATCAGATCCGTTGCAGCCCCATTTTTTGAGATTTGGGTATGGAGGAAAATAGAGAGGGTTGTGTTTTCTGACACTTGGTGAGTTCCCTGGAACACCGGGGACACATATTCATGTATAAAAGACGTACAAAAGTGCATTTTGCATGATAGGTCCCCTTTAAGTATAATACACTTCTGCTTGTCTTATATTGTACTTCTTAAATATATATGTTCAAATATATTACACAGTATTCATGTGTTAATGAGCCCAGTTTTCTAATAAATTCAGTCAATTAAAGTTGAAAACATGTTCTAACAAATCTAAGTTGATAAGAAAAAAGCCCAATAACACATTTACATAACAACCTTGAAATATACCCTTCATATTTCATCTTCTTATAAGCAATCTGAAGCTTCTGTATGCTGTTATTTTCTTACAGCATTTTCAAATATCAAGAATAATTTACCTACATTGGATGGATTTTTCCAACTTATCACTGAACTTATGAGGCAATATCTCTAGCTAGTGGCCCAGACCTTCGTAACAGTTTGGACACCCATAGTTTACAGGCATGTCGGGTTTCAAAAGGTACATTTTGTGTGAGCTTTCTTGAAGGTGGGCAGAATGTCTGAACCCTGTGACTGCTACTATCATCATGCAAACATTAAGGTGTGACAAAGCCATATGAGGTCTTTATCGTTCCCCTTAATCCATTCTTGCTGCCAAGGAAATTGATTGGATTCCCTGTCGGGCCACATGAGGTGCTCAGATGGATCCTCTGTCTAAAGTGAATATTTGACATACCTCACGCATTCGTGTCATCCAGACCTCATCCGAGTCGTCCATCTGGAGCGGGCTGCTGCTGCTGTTCTGCGCCGCCAGCATCATGGATGCTTTGGGGGCGGGACATTGCCATTTGGGCAGAGCGAGGATGGCCAGGGTTGGAGTGATGAAGCTGAACGTCCCACCCTGGAGGATGGGTAACCTGCAAGTCAGTAAGGTGAAGGGGTTACAGGTCAGGAGGTCACCTAACCAAAATATTGTAGGTCTCTGCGTACTAGGAGGACATGAAACGGTTCAAAGCAAGTTTAAAGGTTGAGAATTTTAATGAGGATGTTTCGTTCTCTCTCAGTTCAGTGGGAAAACAATTACTTTTGAAGTGTAAAAAATAGAAATCCCATGCCAAATGTATTTTTTTTTATTATCTCAGCAAGATGTTCACAAACTTTGTTACATAAGGTAACTGTTGTTGAACCACTGACCTACAGACATGATTTCAAGAGGTGGGAGTACAAATACTTCGTTACTGTACTTAAGTACATTTTTCTGGTATCAGTACTTTGCTCCACTACTTATTTTTCTGACGACTTTTTACTTTTACTTCTTACATTTTTAACACAAATACCTGAACTTTCTACTTCTTACATTTTCCAAACAGGCTGGTTACTTTAGTTTGAATCTGTTTGGTGGCGTGATCATTATTATTTAGAATCATTGCGTGCCTATTGATTTGAACACGATCCGTGTATCCATCATTTCCTGGTCTTCTCTAAAGAAGAGGGACCAATGAAAACGTTGTCATGTTGCCGTTGTTCAGCATGGAAACATTCATTAGCTAACAATGACATTATTGTTCTATTAATATAAAGGGAGGTCAGGTACTCTTTAAAACAGCTGTTAGTTATGGGTACTTTTTACTTAAAGTGGACCTATCATGCTATATTTGAATAATATAGTGTAGGACCATACCTATATAAGGCATATTTATACTTTTTTGTTTTCAAAATACCAAACAGATCATGCATTTTAGCCATGCCTCATTTTGCTCAATTTGACATTTTTTAGCTCTGTTTGTGTAAGGGCAGATAAGGGCAGAACAGCACCACCTACAGGCCTGGCATATGTACTACAGCGTCTCCAGCGCTTTCGAACGGCAATGGCCGTGGCTGTCTCCTCCTGATTGGTGGAGTTGGCCCAATAGCCGTAGCGCCACCGTCCTGACGTCAGGACAGTGTTCAAATCTGGATCAGTTTTTATCAGATCCGTTGCAGCCCCTTTTTTAGAGATTTGGGTATGGAGGAAAATAGAGAGGGTTGTGTTTTCTGACACTTGGTGAGTTCCCTGGAACACCGGGGACACATATTCATGTATAAAAGACATACAAAAGTGCATTTTGCATGATAGGTCCCCTTTAAGTACATTTCAAAGCCCATACTTCTTTACTTTTACTTGAGTAAAGAAGTTTAGTCAGTACTTCTACTTTTACCAGAGTATTTTTAAACAAGAGTATCTGTACTTCTATTTGATTAAAGGATGTGTGTACTTTTTCCATCTCTGATGATTTCACCTTTCATTGCAGCAATGGCCCTGCAGGATAACTGTTATCTGCAATGCTGTCATACATTTCATCTACACATTTCTTTCTCTTCAAACGCTCTGATTTAGTTTCAATCTCTCATGCTCTGGATGGACTGAAGTGAATCTGAGGTAGTTATACATTTGGAAATTGAAACATGTTTTCAAAGTGGCTTTTGATTAAACAATGTGGACTATGTATGCATGAGTTAAATTGTCTATTGGTGTGTTTATTTTTCATAAAGCCCTTAATACCAAAGTTTTGAGTCTTGTATTACAAAAATAACGATTAAATATTTGCTTAATATTCAATGTCAAAGTGGAAGCTGGATCCCACTTTTGTTCCTTTAAGCTTTTGCCAAACTGTGTAGGTTGAGAACTCTAACAAAAGCATTAGCTATTTGTTCAGGCTTACTGTTACAGAGTGTGTATGGAGCCTGTACAGTGTGTGTGGAGCTGTGTACAGTGTGTGTGGAGCCGTATACAGTGTGTGTGGAGCTGTGTACAGTGTGTGTGGAGCCATGTACAGTGTGTATGAAGCCTGTACAGTGTGTGTGGAGCCGTGTACAGTGTGTGTGGAGCCGTGTACAATGTGTGTGGAGCTGTGCACAGTGTGTAGTGTGTGTGGAGCCGTGTACAGTGTGTGTGTGGAGCCGTGTACAGTGTGTGTGGAGCTGTGTACAGTGTGTGTGAGGCCTGTACAGTGTGTAGTGTGTGTGAGGCCTGTACAGTGTGTGTGGAGCCTGTACAGTGTGTGTGGAGCCGTGTACAGTGTGTGTGGAGCCTGTACAGTGTGTGTGGAGCCGTGTACAGTGTGTGTGGAGCTGTGTACAGTGTGTGTGGAGCCGTGTACAGTGTGTGTGGAGCCGTGTACAGTGTGTATGGAGCCGTGTATAGTGTGTGTGGAGCCATGTACAATGTGTATGGAGCCTGTACAGTGTGTGTGGAGCCGTGTACAGTATGGAGCCTGTACAGTGTGTGTGGAGCCGTGTACAGTGTATATGGAGCCTGTACAGTGTGTGTGGAGCCGTGTACAGTGTGTATGGAGCCTGTACAGTGTGTGTGGAGCCGTGTATGTGTGTGTGGAGCCCTGTATGTGTGTGTGGGAGGCAGCTGCACTGCGGTGAGGCGTTCAGATTGATGCATCAATCACTATTATGAAAGGTAAGCCACAAATTAAGCTCCTACACTTCAGAGATCATGCAGCTTTAAAGAAAAACAACTTGTGGTGAAAAGTAAAATGTAAGTTCCACTTTAAGTGTCCCGTTGAGCCCATTGGTGGACTGACTCATCGTTTAACTCCACATGAACCTCCACAGGAGTCTCTGAAGGAGCTGACCTGAGATTCAGGATGTTGTAAATAAAGATCAGCACCGACTCGCAGTAAAGAGACAGTGTAGTTAGGGCAAGTGTGGGAGGCCAGGGGTATACTGCCACACAATCCTCAATAAATCACGATTGAAATACTTCAAACCTCATTATCGGAAGTGTAAAACATTCTGGGCAAAGGTGTGTGGGTAATATACTTGAGTTCCCTGCAACTTGGGAACACTATTAACTAGAAATATTCCCTCAGTTTGTACCTGCTGTAAATCTTAAATCCGTAGAGAGTTTGAATACCTGGGAAATTCACAAGCAACCAGAAGCTGTTAAATCGTGCATGTATGTGTAAACAGATTGTTTTTGTGGGGACTTCCCCCCCCTTTATATTGTGTCCCTCACATTTTCCTCTTCCCTTTTTGTGAATGTGTTTCGCGTGAGAAGAGTCGGTGTGAGGGAAAACTAATTTAATAACTACTGATTTGTTGTATATCTGTTGTCAGGTACGTTCTTTTTTCCCTTTTTTTGTGAACGTTTTCCACGTGAGAAGAGTCGGTGTGAGGGAAAACTAATTTAATAACTACTGATTCGTTATATATCTGTTGTCAGTCAGTGAATAAACGGAGATCGGCTCAACTTTATGCTGGCTCGGGTCTCATCCTTCAACGAAACAAAACACAACGCAGGCACCGCGAATTGACCCCGGTTGCATATGTGTGGACCTTCTTTTGTGCAATATCATGGTTCACTGGTACTGTGAGACTGGGGTTGGTTACCTTGTACCGATGGATGTCTGCAGCAGTGTACTTAGTCCCGACACAAAGAATATGGTGGAGATGAGCTGGCTTTTGGCGCTGTTGTTGTCCTTTATGCAGAGGGGCTCGGCCAGGATCAGGGGGACCGCGATGATGCCCCCGAACGCCAGGATGTAATGCTGCAGAAGAAGATAAAGTTACATCATCTGGGGACTCTTTGAAGGGGTGGAAGAGAAACAACATAACACTTTAAAATATCCTGACTCTTCTCTCTGACAATATTTAAATAGAAGATATTGTTGTTTCTTTAAACAAAGACATCTTAATTGCTTTCCAAGGAGGTGTTCCAAAACCAGACATCACAAGGAACGATGGAAAATGTATATGCTAAAATAACTCATTATAATAGATTATGATTAGATCATCTGGGGACTCTTTGAAGGGGTGGAAAAGAAACAACATAACACTTTAAAATATCCTGACTTCTGGTTTCCTCTGGTCTAGATATTTAAATACAAAATAATGTTTCTTTAAACAAAGACATCTTAATTGCTTTCTTTTTCCGATGGTGTTCCAAAACCAGACATCACAAGGAACGATGGAAAAGTTATATGCTAAAATGTATCTAGATGAGTTGTTGTAAAAACTATGTAAAACAAAACTGATCACCTTTTATTGATGTCAAAATGCAAACCTTTGGTTCAGTTTATTTCATTTGTTACAATCATCATTCTTTGTCAGCGCTATTCTAAAATGTTCTTTAGATGTTTGCGTTTAATAGAAAAGAGGACACACTGGAAAATGAATTGTAACAAAGATCAAAGCCTGGAACCAAATTTGGGATATTAGGATTACACGAGATGGGTCTTAAACACTAACAAACAATATGTCAATGTATTTGAGTGCATATTAGGAGTAGAGGCCCCCGTGTGTAGACCAGCAGTTAAATTAGTTTGTCATCACCTTTTAAACATCAAGCCCCTGTATCATCACAGTACAGTCAGGGCTTTAGAAAATTGCTAAAAAGAACATATATATGTATTGATATAATATATAATATGTATGTACTTGAGAATGTTACAATAATTGTGGGTGTGAGATAGTTTAACTAAGGGGGAAAGGGTGATCAGACGATCAAAATACCTCCTTTCTTAAGAATCAAGGGGAGTAAATTCAAGGAGAAGACAACCTTATGACATGCCATGTAACATTAAGGTGTCGTTTAACAACCATTAAGATTTAAAAGACACTATTTAATGATGTGATAAAGTCAAACAGTTGACTCTGAGGTGACCCAGAAAACATGTACACATGTGGTCTTTTGCCTTTGTTTCAGTATAGCTGTGAATTTACAGCTCGTCAACCAGCTAGGAATTTACAGCACTTTGACTCTTCCTGTTTTTTCTCTTCAGTGCAGACAGTCTTTAAAGTGGATGAAAGATCCCTCATCCTGTGTTAACAAGCGCAGACCCTTGTTAAAGACCCTCAACTGGAAATTGCTGTGATCTATATGGGTTTCAGTTGCTCTGTTTATGTCAACGAAGGTACAAATACACTTTTAGATCCATATATTGGCACTATAAATATCTTTATTGTGAAAAAAAAAACATCACAACACCCAAAATACTATGTAAAATATGTGTTAAAATATGTATATTTGATATACATGTTCTGAAAAACACCATAATCACTCAAATAAACACAAGTTTGGTATCTGGTTACCACATCATTCTCTTCCTGGAAGGCATGATTCTGAGAAAAGTATGTCGTTTATGCTTAAAGGTCACCTATTATGCAAAATCCACTTGTCCATGTCTCTTCTACATCAACATGTGTCCCCTCTGTGTAAAGAGATTCTGAAAGTTTCAGGAAAAAAGATTCTCTCTCTTTTTGTCCTGATCCATTTATATAAAAACTAGGGCTGTCAAGTTAACGCGTTAATAAGGCGTTAATGCAAAAAAAACTGACAAATGATCACTTTGTTAAGGTGCTTTGGACTCCACTTAACTGCAATTTAAATCATCACCTAGGCCAGGGGTCGGCAACCCGCGGCTCTTTAAGCCCTTCACTCTGGCTCCCTTGAGCTTAGACAAAAATAAGGGAGGGTTTAAAGGGGACCTATCATGCAAAATGCACTTTTTGAAAAACGGGGCTACAACGGAGATGATCTAGATTTGCTTCCGATATGACGTAATATCGGAAATGTAGGCTGGCTTTACACCCACGGCCCTATCAGAAATGTTGCTATCAGAAACAATGCCCGACTGTTTTGGACGTAATATGGTCGGTGCATGTTTACATTAGCATCGCTAACACTCAGAGCTAACCTGTACTGCATGTGTGTGAAGAAGCAGGAAATAAAAAGGTACTCACCTTGTGGTATAACCGGCAAGAGAGAAAGCCTTTGAGCTCCATACTGTTTCAGAATGAGTCCTTGATAATCCATGATATGGCGTTTCATCACCGCAGTATTTAGTTTAGACAGTAGCTGCTGGGTCCCGCATGAGCTCAGCCCCTTCCTTTTTATTTAGTTAATCAATCTTTTTTTTTTAAAGCTTTATACCCCAAATCTGAAGTTACCTACTGTAACTCCAGCTTCTATGAGTATTGGCGTAGCCCTCTAAGGCTATCGCTATTGGGTAATCCCCCTGCGCACCCGCGCAGCACTGAAACACTTGTAGTCCACGCCCGCCCGCAAGGTGGGCCCTACCCTCGGGCTCCCTTCCGGTATAAATAGGAAGGAGGCCCGACAATCTGCTCCCACACAAAACAACTTTTCTTCAGCTATTCGTGGAGCCAGTGGGGCCCAGAACTTAGAGGGCTACGCCAATACTCATAGAAGCTGGAGTTACAGTAGGTAACTTCAGTTCTATTTCGTATATGGCTTCGCCCTCTAAGGCTATCGCTATTGGGTTAAGGGCGAAGCAAGATGTAGTCTGCGCCCCACTGGGTCGCCCCGGTACAAGAAGCACAGACACACCTGCTCAGATAATAACCCATGCCTATTGCGCCATGCGAATGGCGCATCACAGTCCCTGGAATATATCATAACATGAATATTTACCATGAGGGGACGAAGGCTGGGAATAATACATACCTGCCGCTGTGAGAAAGTAGAGACGAAGGTCACACTTTGCCCAGTGACAGAAAGGAGGGGGAATAGCAGCTCTCTGCGTGCAGACAGGCAGAAGAGCGCACAGCTGGGTCCCCAACATCACTCACTCTGACAAGACATTCCGTACGAAATGTGTCAGGGGAAAAAGGGGGACGTCCCTCTCATAAGAGGGAATACAGGCCACTCTCCATGTGCCGAGGCAGGAGAGAGGCGCACAGCTGGATCCCTGACGTCACTCACTCTGACAGGACACTCAGCACAGAGTGTGTCAGAGAGGAATGGGAGACATCCCTCAAATAAAATTAAATACATGAACAGGGAGAAGACCAAGAAGCAGCAGTGCAAATGTCTTCCACTGACATTCCTCCGTGCAAAGCTGTGGAGGAGGAAATTCCTCTGGTGGAGTGCGCATTGATGTTCTCCGGGGGATCCACCCCAGAGGAGACATATGCCTGTGACACAGCCTCACACAGCCAGTGTGACAGACAGAGGCTGCCCGATCGAGCGCTCTCTGTAATGCACAAACAGGCGCTGAGAACGGCGCAAGGCAGCCGTGCGCGCCACATAGCAGGACAGCGCGCACACAGGACAGAGGAGATGAGACGTGGCTTCTTCCTCCGACCTGTGAGGAGGGGGAAAGAAGCCATCCAGGGTGATCACTCTTGACCTAAAAGAGCTTGTGATGACCTTTGGCATAAAAGCTGGGTTAGGGCGTAAAACAGCTGAACTGCCATCTCCTTGGATCCGGAGGCATGACGGAGCCACAGAGAGAGCAGACAAATCACTCACCCTTTTTGCTGATGTTAGAGCCAAAAGTAGTACTACTTTGGCTGATAACATCTTAAGGGGAACCTGATCTAAAGGTTCAAATGGGGCTTTGCTTAGTGTGCGTAACACCAAAGCCAAATCCCACTGAGGCGCTAGTGCGCGTGACACAGGTCTGAGTCTCCGTACTCCTCGCAGAAAACGTTTCGTCAGGGGGTGACTAAACACCGTCCCGACCCCGAAACCCACATGACAAGATGATATGGCAGCAGCATACACCTTGATTGTGTTGAAAGCCAAATTCCTGTCCAACAACAGCTGGAGGAATGACAGCACGTGAGGCAGGGGGCACGTAATGGGGTCCAGGCTTTTTTCTACACACCAACGCTGGAAAGCTGTCCACTTGGCTGTGTAGGACGCTCTGGTAGACGCGGCCCTGGCTCCCTGAATGGTCCGTACAACATCTTGAGAGAGGCCCAGCCCCTCTAAGTGTTCCCGTTCAGGGGCTATGCCCATAAGTGCTGGCCTATCACAGGGTGACTGTTGATCGCTCCCTCCACCTGCGAGAGAGCGTCCCCGTGCCACGGAATTGCCCACGGTCTGCCTGACAGCGTACGCTGTAGGCATGGAAACCAGGAAGCGCCCGTGCGCTCCGGGGCAATTAGGATCACTGACAGTCGCTCCTCCTGCACTCGGTCCAGGAACCGAGGGATCAGCGGGACTGGTGGGAAAGCGTACAACAGTCCCCTGGGCCATGGTCGATGTGCGAACGCGTCCACCCCCAGGGGGGGGTGGTCCTGCGCTTTCAGGGAGAACCAGAGGGCGCATTGTGCGTTCCCGCGTGCGGCGAACAGATCCACTTCTGCTCTCCCGAACCGGCTCCATACCTGGGAGACCAGCTCGGGATGGAGGCTCCAGTCCCCCTGGCGCAACCCAGTATCACGGCAAGACGTGAACATGTGACGATCTACCATGCTGGGAGACGTGAATATGTCACGGTTTCGTCCCTTCAAACGTGACAGTTACACGGTATTGTTAACATGGCCCAACCAGTGGAGAAATACCCGGAAGTGCCAAGCAAATGGTCTACCGCGCCTATTGGTCGGTTTTTATTGTCAAAATGAGATGTTTTTAATTTATTTTTTAATCGTCACACTTGATTTCGCCGATTTTCTTGTTGCCCTAGCTGGTCGACACCTCTTTTAGCAGAAACAAAGGCTATATTAATGTATTAAATCGATGTTAATCCATGTGTGTGGATCATAGACTGGTGTGGATGTGGAATTAACGGACGTGACG